GGGGTGTTGTTTTTTTGTTTGCTAAACCCAATTTAAACAGCCTATAACAACTTTAGCTCTGCAAACACTAAACCAATCTGCCTGACATTTCACAGAGTGGAGCACTCTCAAAGACAGCTGAGAGGAAGAGCCTTTGACTTGGCCTAGCCCTGTCAGGGTCTGCACAGGGAAGGGAGATAGATCCTAGTATGCTTGCCTCAAAGCTACATAAGATCCAGGTATAATCTGACCCTAAACTACATTATTGAGGTGGCCTCTGTATACAGTGTGGGCTCTGCTGAGTCCATAACTGCCACTGGGCATCATTTAGCTCTTATAAAGTACACATAGCCCAGCTAAAGACGGGTAACAAGGAACAGCTAACTGTGAATTGGACTGAGGTGGGGCTAGGGAGGGGGACACAGCAAGAGGTTTAACCCATTAAGTCAACATGACTGTAAATGCTCATTTAGACCCTCTGTGTACATCTCTGACTTCCTCTAGGCTGGGGTCCAGTTGCAAGCCGCTTGCACTTGTGCCCCAGCACAAACCTTTGTGGAGTGAGTGGTAGACTAACATTTAGTTAAGGTGAGTAAATAAGCAATGAAGTCAAGCTACAAAGAGACCATACAAGGCTCTAAACTCTAGGCAAACCTTTAGAGAATGGAAGGGCTGGTTTGGGCTGAACAGAAGAAAGAAAATGATATGGTGGAAAGTGAACTTGTGTCCTAGTTTAGGAGATTCCCACCCTCCCCAAATAAATCCACTTTGCCTGCCTATATTGTAGTATGACCTTCTCTCAACTCCTTCAGCTCCAGATTGGATTGCATTAGCATCCAGATCCAGCCTTTGCAGCTCAGGCCCATCTTTTACTGAGTTTCACGTTTGGCTGGGCTCAGTGGAGGCATGTGATGTCATATAGTGTGATTCTTCACTAATCCTCTGGTATTTTACTTTTCTATGAATTCAAAAGCACTTTATGCCTGGGTTTCAATGCTTGATAGGTTTCTATTAAATATGGTTTTATACTAAATAACAGTACAGTACTTTTTCAAGTCCCTGGTAACTATTAATAAAATCTAAGTCCAGACCTTAAATGCCACAGATCCATCTCTGATTTTGTAGAATGGTTTCAGAAAAACTCTAGTCTGTTCCCTCCCCAAGGGTTAAGCCAAGATGCAGGCAAAGGAGTGTAAATATAGTTATGCATAATTTCTCCTTCTATCCCAGTAAATTCTGCCTGGTAAACGTCCACAACCATTGCATAAGACTGATCATATTCCTGGTGAGTGCAAGAGAGATGATTAAACCCCTTAGTTTCCCTAGAGCTAAATAATAAATTCCTTTCAGGGAAGAGAGGCAGCTTACAAAAATGGCTGCTGTTGGAAAAAAACCTAAATAGAGGTACCATACAGCAGTACGTGGTCTGTACTTCAATTTTCCTGGCAGTGCCACTTAGGAATAGGCTAACCAGTTCAATTAAATTAGAACTAGCCTAAGCCTTTCCCTGCATTGCTCTGGCTACAAAAGCTCTACGAAAGATGAAGCCGTATTAACCACAGCTGCTCCAGACAGTCTCTGGTCCATCTTTGAGCCAAGCTCCCATTGAAATCAGAAGGAATTTGTACCAGTTGGGACTGCAGAATTTGGCCCTCTGGTGTTTGTTTCCCCAACAACGAGTGCTTGCTAATTGCAACTGTTGAATGTATGCATATTTATTACACCATGGAGTTGGGGAAGCTGCACAGTCTGCAGCTAATGTGCTGAATCAGACAGTAAATCAGACTGATTAAGATACAAGGTTTAGACTTAAGAAAAAGCTAATTGCATGGCCTTGCTTTTGGAGCTGACTCTTAAATCATAGCAATAGCTGTGACACCGCAGGACAGGTAGCAAAATGGCTAGGAAAAAGCAACCCATACCTCTCAGCAATAAAAAAGGGGGTTGAGGTTTTGCTGTGGGACCCTCAACCAACATGACCACTGAGAGCAGAAAGGCTTGGTGATAGGAAGCAGGGTAATCTTATTCAAATCTATTTTTCTGAAATCTTGGACAGCTATTGCAATGCTCCAGTCGCTATTCATAGCTTCTCTCTGTGAACAGAAACTCCCCTGTAAAAGATGGGAGTGCTAACAGTTCTGCTTTGGACACATTGAACAAAAGCAAATCGCACCACCCAGTATGCAGCAAGAACAGGTCAAGCATAGGCTTCCAGCCACCAGGTTCTAGATCAGAAAATGGGTTTCCTGCCTTTGCTGTACCATAAGCTAGGAGAAAGCCTGTGGGAAAAGGCCTAATCCTGGAATGGAAGGGAGAAATTACCTGCATTGCTCAGAGCTGAGCCTACTGAGTGAAGTAAGGACCTGGAGAGGTCATCAAGCAGCAATGCAAGAGGGTACATGATAGCACTGACATGAACCTGGATAAGCACAAATATTCTGTAGCCTGATCCCCCTGCATTAGCCTTTGTTCTACACTACTATAATGCCATTGACCTGCACAAAGTTGCACCTGGAAGTGAAAGAGTACAATGAAGGCACAGGTTTATCATAAGAATCTCTGCCATATTCTGTTCTCAGTTACACCGTGAAATTCAGTGTGTTATATGCACGTAACTGAGGCAACGTTTGACCCCAATTCTTGGCTTCCCTAATCCAGTAACTTTGGAATAATATATACACTTTAAAACTTCTCTTATCTTGCAGTCAAGAAGCAGCTTCCTTACAAGGATCTATTGGAATCCACTTACTGGAAGTCACATAGGAGAACAGTAGCTTGCAAATGGTTTACTGTGTTTCTACCTCCAAGTATCTGACAACCGAGCTTCATGGTTTCTTGCCTAAATTGCATGACAGGTTTTTTTCCTGGTCTCATTTTCATAAACCACTTGAACATCCAGCCCAAACTCATTTTGCTTTGAAATTCAATTAATGTTTCAGCTACAGGCCTGAATTTCTGCCATTGTTTGCACAAACAAAACTTGGCTCTGACAAAAGGGAAGCTAAGAGATATACAAAGGGAGTGAAAACAAAAGTAGCAAACCCCAAAACACATTTACAACTGATTTCTCTGTGTTTACTCAGCACAGTCAGCTGTCACATTTGCAAAAATGAAAAAGGCAGGTGGCAATGTTTGTTTCTCATACTTTTCTATCACTACCAATACCAAGTGCTGTACAGAGCACCAACAACAGCAGTAGGGTAGATCTGAGACAAAGAGAGATGTCTTCATTCTGCCCCCAAGTCCCATGCAAACCTTACATGCGGAAGTTGAGTTCCACCAGCCATGCCATTCTCTGACAGATGAACATCAGGTAGCTGGGAGAACGAGCTGAAAATGCTGCAGCTCTGCAGAAAAGAGATAGTGAGCTGATGTGAATGCAGTGCCACAGCCCAAATCCAGTAACCACCACTCAAATAGCAGTATCAGATTAGACTAGACTAAACTAGGCTAGAGCAGATGGATGTGGACCAGACAACTTCTACATTTGAGAGTGTCATGTTCCAAATTAACTCCATCTTTTCTTTTTTCCAGTTGGCTGAACCCAAACTGCAGATATGACCCTCCTCAACCTCTACAAGGGCTTGCATCACATCTAGTAAATACCACTGCTTCCCTGCTCCCAATCATACAGCTTCCTCCACCCCCAACGACCCTAATAATCACTACTACCATGCCACTGACTTGCACTGAAGTCACCCTGCGTATCGGCCTAGGGAGAGAGTAGAAATTCTGATCCCCAAAAATGAATGGAAGGGAGAATCTGTGACCTCCAGCACTGCTAAGGGCAGGCTATTGTTCACAATGAATTTATCCTCATCCCTGAGGAAGGTGATGTGAAAACAGAGGATCAGCAGTTTTCATAACCATGAACATACCAACCTGGGAGGAAAAACAGTTTAGCAGTCGTCAAAGGGCTGAGGATAGACCTTAATGTAACCAGATATTCATCCCACATCCACAGAGGCATATGGGCAGTTGAAGCTAAAGCAAGAAAGACAAGGGCACCCAGAGAAAAAGAGTATTTTTCTTATTCTGAACTGTACCAAATAAAAGGCAATTTTGCACGACAATTCAACTCCTTTGCATAAAGGTCTTTCACACCAACTGTATCCCAAATTGCTTTGCAGAGTTAAATATAACAATTATGGAGACCAATAGGCGATTCTGTGAGAAAAAAAACATTGTTTTCAAACGTAATTGCTAGCTGTGTCTAGACACTGCAACCAACGCTGTATCTTAATCACCGCAATAACGCCACCAGAGACACGGAAGACATTAATAAGGAAATGGGAAACATGCATGCAGCCGAGGTTTGAAGTGATAGACACAATGAAAGGGACGCAAGGAGGCGGGAACAGCAGGGCAATCACCAACCCCAATCAGACTATGGAAGGACACAGAGGAAGGGATGGATGAGGGGAAGGCGGAGGCAGAGGAGGTTGGAAAGTCAGACTGGGACAAGACCAGGCAGAGATTTAAAAATAAGATTGCAACTTTGATGAAGGGGCATGCAGAGGCATTGTTTAGCAACAGGGGAAGATGTGGCTTCATTTTAAGACTTCATTTTAGTAAGCAACAGGGGAAGATGTGGCTTCATTTTAAGAGTACATTTTAGTACCCTGCCAATATATCTCCACTCCTTCTAAATCAACACACTTCACAACAAAGCCAGCAGAAGCCAGGAATCCCACACAGGCCTCTCACATCATGTGTTATATCTTATCCAATGCACCAAATGTCCTCATGGAAACAAATGTGGGTAAAACCAAGCCTCCATGACACCTGCAGTAGGAACGCCCACCAAGAAATGATAAGGGACAGAAATGTCCTATCACCAGGGAGAGAATACTTTTTACAGAATGGTCGCTTTGGCTCAGACCTCACTGCCCTTGTTCCATCAATGAGAATATCACAGCCTTTGACTCCACCTCACGGGTGTGGATGCCACATGCATGACCTTCGGCAGCAACGTGACGAGACACAAGATCTTCATAAACTCAAAGTGAAGCGAACTGCCATTGAATGTCAGCAAGGGCCGGGTAACTCCCCCTCCTTTATGCCTTTGGAAACCTCTCCTACAGGAGTCCCAAATTATCAACAGCCAACTGCAGAAGCATCTCAAACCATAGGGAAACAAGTCTCTCCTGTTCTGGGGCAAAGGCTGGATTTTGAAAATCAGTCCTATACCCCAATTACCACTGGAGCTCAGTAGAGCACAGTTTGGAAACCCTTGTGTATAAAAATACAGCCACCCCTTAAACATCTGCTGGTACAGATGTCTTTATGGAGTCCAATTCAGAATGACATAGAATCCCACTAAGAGCCACCTACTTTTAAACAGTGTCATAGCCACTCCAGTTATTCCCTTTCAATAACACAGCCTTATTTTACTGTTATTACCTGTGCTGATAGAACTTATCTGCATTAATAAGAAGGTATCATCTTAAGCATACAGAAAGAGGAGCTTGCTGCACAGACAGCCCCCATGACAACAGCAGAGATTAACTAGCATCTGGATATTCTTCCTAATGGTCCAAATGGATGTTGGTCTACCAAGAGACACCCCAGTTATACGGAAATCAGCTTGCTGAATGCATGAAATGCCAAAGGACCCGCAAAGTAAGTCAGAGCAGAATGAGCCATTAATCACTGTAGTCAGCTACATCCCTTGTACAAGGCTCACTTTGTGAACTTGAAAAATATTACTGTATTAAGAGAAAATATGCCCTTCAAAAGCCTCTTCAGGTGTCCTGCACAGTGACTGAAGCAACTCTTTGGGATGGATTGTTCTCTACCTGAAATTCTTAACAGAAAAATTCTTCAGCTGTGATTCCAGCTCTGGCTGACATTATTAACATGGCTTTCCTCCCTTCCTCATTGCCCCATTTTTGCTTCACTTACTCTTTTCACCCTCTCCATTAACTTCCCCTCTCCTCTCTTTAGAGAAGGCCTCAGGCCAAAAAAGCCAAATGTCCAGTCCAAATGGCTTTGAATCAGAGGGAAGGGGAGTTCAGCGGCCCTCCAATCTAAACCTCCTAGCCCTTTCTTCTCTGGTGGATCTGTTATGTTGATGCTATCCAACTCTCCAAGGTCCTTGAGGGTAGTTGAGCTCTGCCCCTCTTTACTTCTCTCCCTTCCTCTCCAAACCCTGCCAAAGATAATGGCCCACAGGTGACAGAACCAAGAATAAAACCCTACAATAGCAAAGAGTGCCACTGCCTCCAGTTAGACCTACATCTTGTCACCTGGAGTCTGGTCAGCTACAAAAGCATCTGCTGCTTAAAGAAAAGAAGGATGTGCTGCAAACGGTAATCACAGACCAAGAAAGCAACAGTGACTCAATTCCCAGCTGGCTGCGAGTTGCCATCACTCTCCCTAAGTCAGCAAATTGCTAAGTACACTCATTCCTTAAAACTCAGCAAGACCTTGTAAAATTCCATCCTTCTGTCACCATGTGGGCTCCTAGGGCCCCCTCCTGCCTTAGATTTCTACTTCATCTCTCTCTTCACTTATGTCTTTGTGTTTTGTATATTCCATTTCCTAAGATGTCATGCTTTAAAAAGGGAGTCCTGACTCACTTATATATATGCATATATACAGAAAATTCTTCTAAAAGAGTGTCCTGACTATATGGGAATATGCATTCTGAATAATCCAGATGGCCCCAGTGCCACTGCCTAGAACAAGCACTCAACTCCTAAAAATAAATTGCCATTGCTGCAAGACTGACTTCTAACTGAGAAAAGTCTAACAAAATCCCCCTGACTTTGATAAGGGAGGGCACTCTATGGATTCTTGGCATTATCAAGTCTACTGCAATGGTTATAACAGTAAAATGTATGGGACATCAGTTGGGGGGGAAAGAGGGGCAGATACCAAAATACCCGGTCTGGCCAGCACCCAGAATAGCCAAAACAGTACTAGGTAATAGTGCTGTGTGAAATTTCAACGGGTGTTTTGTTTAGATGCTGTTTCAACTCGTAATCAGATCGAAGCAGTGAAATCAAAACGAAATGAAAGGCTTTCAAACAGCCTTGAAACAAAACAAGGGCACTCAAAATGTTTCGAAAATTTTGAAATGTTTCGAGTTTCGAAGCTGGGCTTGCTTGCAGGAAACAGAAACTAAGGAGAGGGAGGGGGAAGAGGGAGGAAGGACTGCTTTCATATTGACATGTGTAGCTGGCCAGTGACTGTGATCCTTCCCTGAGGTACCTTCCAATCCCAGTGCTCTGGGGGAGGGACAGAAAAAACAGCATAAAAAGCATTGTTTGAACTGAGCTTTCTCTGTGCCTTGGGGTCAGTTACTGAGCTGTGTCTCCCATCAGCTCAGCAGTGTCAGAGAAAGGCTATCACTTTCTATTTGCTAACCTATTAAGAGGAAGTGGGATCCAATACCTTTTACTTTCCTAATGCCCTTTTATTATTATATTCATTTCTTTCAATTTATTCCTCCCCCAAAATCCTCTTTTTGTTTTTGTTAGTCTATTATGATTCTTTTCCCTCAGAAAAGAAGTCTATGCTTTCTCTCAGTGTGCATTCCATTCACTGTGCAGGGAAGCACAGCATATATTACATATTATAATATAGAATTTATTCAGGAACACACACATACATTTATATATTTTATTTATTACATAAATACATACATACATTACATAAATGCATACATACAATTATCTACATATATTACATAAATACAGATTACATTACAAAAGAACACAGATTTTCCAGCACACCAAACACTATGAAGTGTGCTGGAAAGGCAGCTGGCAAGCCTTCAGGGAGGGGCAGAAGAGAAGGTAGAGGGAGATCTGTAACTCTCCCCCTCCCCGCTCCCAAACTGAGACACAGCCTCTTTCCTACAACTAGCAGGCATGAGGCTTCCAGTTCTACTTGCAGCAAGGAGAGGGGAGAAGTGCCATTGCCTGAGTCTGCATCCCCTCCAAGAGCACCAGCCATAACCCTGCCTCCCACCACCACCACTAGCACCATGACAGCAAGCAGCACCAGCGTGACAATCTTCTCCACCCCCATTTCACTTCTCATCCTGAGCCTTCCAGGGCCACAGGAAGAGCTGGAGCTGGATCCGAGTGCCATAGCAAAGGAAATTTTAGGGAAGGAGCGGGGATCATCTGAGTTCATGATCCACACCCATCAAGTTTCCCCTAGAGTCAGGTCCCCTTCCCCAGAAGGCACTTCAGAGGAGACTGAGGTAGAGGTTGTGGAGGCAAGTGGCTCAGCTGAGTCCACTCCTCCTGTTGCTGTGCCTCTGCCTGCTGAGGAGGGGGAAAAGGCAACATCCGCACATGCACCTGCACCCCAGAAGCAAGGGGATAATGTGGTCTGGGATCATTTTGAGCTGGCAGATGATTCCACATATGCTATCTCTCTGCACTGTCAAGCCAAAACCAGCCAGGGCAAGGGAACGAAACAAATGAGCACCACGGGGATGCTGATGCATCTCCGTAGGCACCATCCCCTTGTCCTTGCTCTTCCTCAGCCTGGCACCAGGGGGAGCATGCCCAAAAAGAAGTCCCCCTCTCCCTTCAAAGGCCCCATCCCCACAAAGCAGAGGCAGGCCACCATGGAGTAGTGGGGGAAAGGTGGACAGAAAGGGGGACTCATTGCAAAGGCGAGTGAGATCACCCAGCGCTCCAGATATGCTATCTTCCAGCACTGATTAAGTAAGACCAGCTGGGGCAAGGAGGCAAAACATTTCAGCACCATGGGGATGCTGATGCATCTCAAAAGCCACCACCCCTTGCCCTTTCTCCTCCTCAGCCTGGCATCAGGGAACAGGCCCAAAGGGAAGTCCCCCTCTCTCTCCAAATTCTGCATCCCCCCAGAAGCAGAAGCAGGCCATCCTGCACCAGTGGGAGAAAGGTGGACACAAAGAGGGGTACATTTCAAAGTTGAGTGAGGTTACCCAGAACACTGGGGAGATGCTTGCCCTGGACAGCCAGCCCTTCTCCTTAGTTGTGCGGCCAGGGTTCAGGTGGCTTATGGCGCTTGTGGTCCCATCATACGATGTGCCTACATGCACTGCCTGCAGCAGGATGGTGGTGCCCTCCCTGTATGAGGCATGCAGGGAGTACTTGAGGGAGGAGCTGTGCAAAGCAGGTCTGCGGGTGGCCTTACACTTCACCTGGGACATCTGGAGCAGCCGGGGTGGAGATCATGCATGCCTCTCCTTCACAGGGCACTGGTGTGACCAGTCAAGCCATCAGCTCTCTTTCAAGCCAAGGTGATGGATGAGTCCCACACAGCAATTGAGATTATGGGGGCCATGAACTGCTTGGTGCAGGGGTGGCTCATTGGGCAGGGTGAGCTCACCCACAGGTTCATGGTCACCAATGATGGGGCCAATATGGTCAAGGCGGTCTGTGATGCCAACTTTTTGGCATCCACTGCGCGGCACACAAATTCCACCTTATTGTCAGGGACGCCTTGGAGGGGAACAGGGCTGCTGGTGATGGTGCCAGCACCACCAGCAAGCTCATTTCCAAATGCAGGAAGGTGGCAGGCTACTTCTGCTGGAGCATCAAGGGGAATAAGATGCTGTGGGA